CAGCCATTGAAGCGTGCGGTACCGCAGACATCACCGGTATCCCTGTAATACTCCAAAGGCCGGTAGAAGACCCGTAGTGGCTGTAAGTACTATCTACCGCCTTCAAGACCAGTTGACACACCACAAGGAGGTTCGGTTAATCCTGCTTGCCGAACACCATGCTGCAAGCTCACTGAATGCGGCCGTCAAGTAACTGAGGCCAACAGACTCAGTGAGCTGCGGTGAGCGCTTCCTCTAACGCCAGTAGAATACCTCTACTGCCAGTAGATGTGTACGATTAGGTGTTCTGGTGACTACTGCGTAGATGCGTACCGTGAGGTGTTCAGGTACTTACTGCTTCTAAAGCCAGTAGATGTGTACCGTGAGGTGTTCAGGTACCTACTGCTTCTAAAGCCAGTAGATGTGTACCATTAGGTGTTCAGGTACTTACTGCTTAGCTGCGTACCGTGAGGTGTTCAGTACTTACTGCTTCTAAAGCCAGTAGATGTGTACCGTGAGGTGTTCAGGTACTTATTGCTGCTAAGGCCGGCTCAGCAGTCCCCACATTGGGTTTGATGACGTACCCAGTGGTACACCGGCCGGCAGGTTAACTATTTAACCACTATATATATATATATATATATATATATATATATATAAAATATATATATATATATATAAATATATATATTATATATATATATATATATATATTATATATATATATATATATATATAATATATATATAATAAAAATGTATGTATATAAAGTGAAATGTATGCCGAGCAGCTGACATATTGTCTGGATACACCCACCTGTCTCTCCAGCCACATGTCAGAGACATGTGCAACTCTTGGGTATCTTTATTGAGGAAACGTTTCGCCACACAGTGGCTTCATCAGTCCATACAAAGGAGAATCTTGAAGAACAGGAGGAGAATGAGGTAATCAGTCCCTCAACCTTGAGTCGATGTGGTCAGTCCATCAATCTATTCAAGATTGATGGACTGACCACATCGACTCAAGGTTGAGGGACTGATTACCTCATTCTCCTCCTGTTCTTCAAGATTCTCCTTTGTATGGACTGATGAAGCCACTGTGTGGCGAAACGTTTCCTCAATAAAGATACCCAAGAGTTGCACATGTGTCTAATATATCATCATGTCGGTTCTCTGAACCATTCATCTTCACACATGTCAGAGGCCACAACGACCGCTCGTACAAGCCTCACACTGTGTAGATACATTTGGAAAGATTAAAACCTAGCTTCAGTTTATATCGGTCCTCCGTTTATTGCCTACGATTAACCACATGCCAGGCACTAATTCTTGAGGCTGTGCGTATTCTCAACGACTGTGACTTTAACCGAATCTCTGACTTATAGTGCTCGTCACGGCATTATGCCGGGGGTGCTCACCCGGCATAATGCCGTGACGAGTACTGTACATATATTATGATGGTTTATTTCTTGCTATATATTCATTTTACATTTTGCTCACCAATGGGCTATGCTAAATATAACCACAGTATTTATAAATTGTTAGTTGCTAACGGCTGAAAGTTATATATAAATATATATACAGAGGAGTGTATATCTCTGTATTTATATGCTAAAAGTTTACCTTTATGATTATTTTAGGGATTAAAGCATTCTTGACTAGTGGAGAACCTTTTACGTGCAGCCTTAATGATCCTAGTATAGTTGATAGCCTTCAGACACAATATTCCAAACCATCAAGTAGCACATTGCCAGTTATACCTTATACATCAGTGACAAATAACCAATTTCTGTCTAAAATATCCCAGCTTCGTACATTTTGGTCTAATTGGGAACAAATATGCGAATATATAACTGTATACTCAGTAACAGAAATTAATCAATCTTCACTAAAGTAAGAGGTCTAACTGCGACACGTGATCACAGTGCTTCCAGCCATTAACATGTAATATTCCGTGCATCGAGGCAAAAAAAAAAATAGAATGAACACTTGTCTAGAGAGCTGTGAGTGCGGTGTTCGCATCACGACCTCAGAGTCACAAGTATGGAGTTGAACTAGTCATTATAAGTTGTAATTTCAACATACATATATTGAGTTGATTAGTAAGAACCCATATGTAGGTATCATAATTATGGCATCATGTCTGATATTCCTTCAGATGTATTTGTTTATAAAAGAAACTTGAATTTACGACAATCTAGCCAAATCCATCCTCAATAACTTTCGTAAAGAACTCATAATGAAAATCTAAAAAGTATATTTTGATGTTTTAAGAAGGTATGTGATATATCTGGTGACATTTTTGACTTACCGGTATGTTGGATTTCAAGTTGTGAAAACTTAAAAACTAACTGAAATGCGAGAGTAATTGTAAGTATTGAAGTGAGTCTTGGTGTTGATGATTGTTTAAGTGTTGGTGATGGTGTTGGTGATGGTGTTGGTGGTGTTGGTGATGGTGTGACTTCTCTGTCAGTAACGCAATGTTGTGTCTATCTTGTTCATGTTGTCTTGTACGTGTTGTGGCAAGGCTGGATGGCTCATCATGACTCTCTCTCTCTCTCTCTCTCTCTCTCTCTCTCTCTCTCTCTCTCTCTCTCTCTCTCTCTCTCTCTATCTCTCTCTCTCTCTCTCTCTCTCTCTCTCTCCTCTCTCCTCCCCTCTCTCCCTCTCCTCTCTCCTCTCTCTCTCTCTCTCTCTCTCTCCCTCTCTCTCTCTCTCTCCCCCTCTCTCTCTCTCTCTCTCTCTCTCTCTCTTTCGCAGTTTACAGAACAAGTGATTTTGCTTTACAGAGAAATAATTTGCATAAATATAAATCTTTTCATTACAAATAAGTGTTGCAGCTTACGTACTATAGCATAACCTTTAACTCATTAATTAGCCCATACTATTCATGAAATATTTACATATATATCAAGGGAAAAATGCTGATTCAGAGTGGGACCTAACAACCAGGAAACTGGGAAGTACTCAGGCGCCATTCAATTAAGAACAGAGAAGCATCAGTTCCTAGGAGTTAAGTGTGTATATAACAGTGGATTATTATTATTATTAATATTATAATCAAGGGGGAAGCGCTAAACCCGGAGGATTATACAGCGCCTGGGGGGGGGGGATGTGGAAGGCATTCAGGCTTAATTCGGGGAACTGGAGTTATAACAGTGGAAAGCAGTCAATGTCAGACACCTGGTGACCATGGCGACTAGCGGACCTCTGCTGCTGATTCTGTTCCTACTTGTCCTGCTTGTTATACAAGGTGAGTTCAACTGGTGACTTTAATATACACCGAGAGGTGTATGTTTCTCGGTCTTTATACACTCAGTATTTACTTTAATCCATTAAAAGTAATTAAAATGTCCTCTCTGGTGGTGAACAAGCGACGTGTAGCCTTAATAACCCTCGCGTAGTTGATAGACTTTAAACAATGGAAATAAGTCACTCTGACATTTTTGGGTTGTCCTGGGTTCTCTACACATATGCTGCTATGCACTTGTGTATACCTGAATAACCTTACTTACGTAACCAACTAAGTATGGCTGACTTAGCCAGCAAGCCGACAAGAGGATATAAACACACGTAACACACAAAAAAATCTTTATACGACGCTTTATTTTTAACATTAAGCTTTTCCAAGACTTTCTAAAGCACAATCTTAAGCAATGCAACGTGTAAAAACAGATTATATTACGTGAGTTGGTTAACTAATGGAATTTTATACTAATCGACTACACTAAGAACATGGAGGAACACTGTTGTTAGGTAAGACACATATACAACAAGTCTTCAAGTATCTTCTGCTTCTATCAACTTTTATACCATTTTAACATCATGGAGGAACACTGGAGGAACACTGGAGGAACACTGCAGAAGGCCTACTGCCCCAACAAAAGGTCTTTAAGGATGCTTTAATTCCTAAAATAGGGATTAAAGTTTGTAGATGAATGGTTCAGAGAACCGACATGTTGATAAATTAGACACATGTGCAACTCTTGGGTATCTTTATTGAGGAAACGTTTCGCCACACAGTGGCTTCATCAGTCCATACATAGGAGAAACTTGAAGAACAGGAGGAGAATGAGGTAATCAGTCCCTCAACCTTGAGTCGACTCAAAGTTGAGGGACTGATTACCTCATTCTCCTCCTGTTCTTCAAGTTTCTCCTATGTATGGACTGATGAAGCCACTGTGTGGCGAAACGTTTCCTCAATAAAGATACCCAAGAGTTGCACATGTGTCTAATTTATCAGGGATTAAAGTAAACTCTCAGCATAGAAATGCCGAGAGAAATTCGCCTCTCAGTGTATATCCTGAGAGTTGAAATGTCTCGTATTCATCTGTGTGATTCGATGTATTAATAACGTTAATAATAAACAATACCAGGGAGCTGATGGATAAGACACGTGTGCAACACTCGGGTATCGTTATTGACCGAGACGTTTCGCCAACCAATGGCTTTCTCGAGCCAATACAGGGAATTAATATTCTATATTGTGCAAAATAAGTGGGAAAAAACGGTGAAATTCTAAGCACTTTCGTGACTTCTCGCACCGATAATGTGAGAAATCACGAAATCACTTGGAATTTCACTATTTTTTCGCCGTGGACATTTTGCATATTAGATATCGCCTGTTGAATGCATTCTGTATTGTGACGAGAAAAAACACAGTTTGACGAGACTTGTCCATCATTAAGGATACCCAGGCGTTACACATGTCTTATTCATAAGAACATAAGAACATAAGAAAGGAGGAACACTGCAGCAGGCCTGTTGGCCCATGCTAGGCAGGTCCTTTACAATTCATCCCACTAACAAAACATTTGCCCAACCCAATTTTCAATGCTACCCCAGAAATAAGCTCTGATGTGCAAGTCCAACTCAATTCCAACCCCTCCCACTCATGTATTTATCCAACCTAAATTTGAAACTACCCAAAGTCCTAGCCTCAATAACCCAACTAGGTAGACTGTTCCACTCATCAACTACCCTATTTCCAAACCAATACTTTCCTATGTCCTTTCTAAATCTAAACTTGTCTAATTTAAATCCATTACTGCGGGTTCTCTCTTGGAGAGATATCCTCAAGACCTTATTAATATCCCCTTTATTAATACCTATCTTCCACTTATACACTTCGATCAGGTCTCCCCTCATTCTTCGTCTAACAAGTGAATGTAACTTAAGAGTCCTCAATCTTTCTTCATAAGGAAGATTTCTAATGCTATGTATTAATTTAGTCATCCTACGCTGAATGTTTTCTAATGAATTTATGTCCATTCTGTAATATGGAGACCAGAACTGAGCTGCATAATCTAGGTGAGGCCTTACTAATGATGTATAAAGCTGCAGTATGACCTCTGGACTTCTGTTGCTTACACTTCTTGATATAAATCCCAGTAATCTATTTGCCTTATTACGTACGCTTAGGCATTGCTGTCTTGGTTTAAGGTTGCTGCTTACCATAACCCCCTACATTGAACTGCATCTGCCACTTTTCTGACCAAGAATAGAGTTTGTCTAAATCTTTCTGAAGTTCCCTAACATCTACGTTTGAATCAATTATCCTACCTATCTTTGTGTCATCGGCGAATTTGCTCATATCACTAGTAATTCCCTAATCAAGATCATTGATATATATTATAAACAACAACGGGCCCAAGACTGATCCCTGTGGAACGCCACTTGTTACTGATCCCCACTCGGATTTAACCCCATTTATGGACACTCTCTGCTTCCTGTCAGTGAGCCATGACTCGATCCACGAGAGCACTTTTCCCCCAATGCCATGAGCTGCCAATTTCTTTAACAGTCTTTGGTACGGAACTCTATCAAAAGCCTTACTAAAATATAAGTAAATAATATCAAATTCTTTATCGTGGTCAACAGCCTCAAAAGCTTTGCTGAAGAAAGTTAATAAATTAGTTAGACAAGACCGGCTTCTTGTGAATCCATGCTGAGTATCATTAATCAAGCTATGCTTATCGAGATGGCTTCTTATAATCTCAGCTATAATTGACTCTAGTAATTTGCCTACAATTGAGGTCAGGCTTATTGGGCGGTAATTTGACGGAAACGACTTGTCCCCAGTTTTAAAAATAGGAATTACATTAGCCATCTTCCACATATCAGACACTACACCTGTTTGAAGAGATAAATTAAAAATATTAGTTAATGGTTCACAGAGTTCCATTTTGCATTCTTTAAAAACCCTTGAAAAAAACTCATCAGGACCCGGTGACTTATTTTGCTTCAGTCGGTCTATCTGCTTCACAACCATTTCACTAGTGACTGTGATGTTACATAATTTATCATCTTCTGGCCCACTATAAAAATTAATTACTGGAATATTATTAGTGTCTTCCTGTGTAAAAACCGAGAGAAAATAATTATTTAAAATCGAGCACATTTCATTCTCTTTGTCAGTAAGATGCCCATAGTTATTTTTAAGGGGACCTATCTTATCTCTGACTTTTGTTCTAAATACCTGGAAAAAACTTTTTGGGTTAGTTTTAGAATCCCTAGCAACTTTAATTTCATAGTCCGTTTTAGCTTTTCATCGCGGTGAAAAGCTGTTAACGAAGACAGATTTAGTTGCCCTTTACGCATTGGTAAAAATGGTAGAATTTCCGTCAAAATGTTACGTGAAGGTCACATTTGTGTCCTTTTATGTAAATACGTGTTTCTCAAAGTTAGGCATTTTCATTTGTCCGTTACGGTATTTGTTAGAATAGGAAGCTTTTAGGGAACAAAATTTACATTACCAAGCGTAACTAAACGTAGATTTTATTCGGGTTTGTATATTTTGAAGGACTGATGACCCAGGATGAACCAAGTTGGTCTGAGAAACATCTTCATTTCCATACTGCAGAAAATAGTGAGGAGAAACAAACGAAGCAGAACAAAATTTCAGTGGACGGATTATATACTCGCTATTTCGATGAAGGACTATCTACTATTATCAGATAGAGGCAATGATGATAAAGTAGGTTCTTTTATTAAAGAAGCCCAGTGGCTTACAGGAACGTGGAATGTCGGAAAATTTAATTTAGAAAATAGTTAAATATACTTTATATCAGGCATACATGTATTGTAATTAGAGAATAATCATGTAAAGCGTTTCGGGGATCGAACCGATGTCCTGGCTATTCCAAGTCCCAAACAGTACATACGTAGCCAGAGTGTGCAATTTCTTACTCTCACGACCTAGTGGGAATATTAATTCACTTACGCGGAAACTGGCTTTTGCAGGTCGTTCTGTGGAAGGATTTCTACGTGCTTTGGTCTCAAAATCAGTCTTTTTAAAGCCCTCCGGGTCTTCCGTCACTTTCTGGATTCCATTCCCAGTGAGACGCAAACCACCGCCAACTACCACTTCCAAGCCACCTGTCACGCCAATCTGCCATGTAAACACAACTCGTTATAATAACTTTCAAGCAGAATCACACATCAAACCAAATGAAACAAAGGCTTACCGGTCTAGCGAAGAAATCTCTTCAGCAAATTCACTCATCTGTCATCCTGAAAACCTTGACTCATTCCAGCCAACAGAAAGAACTCCTTCCAGCCCACAGCACAACTTTCATCCCAGCCAACAGAAAACAACTTCCAGCCCACGGCACAAATTCTACAACAACCTATAGCAAGAGTCTCATTTAAACCAAATGAAAATATCCCATTCCAGACTACAGTACAAGATTCATTGCAACTAGCACAGCCGACCACAACGGATCGAAGGAAAAGTCTTGTATGCGATTATTCAAAGTTTCACCCTCGGCACAGCATGGTGTTGGGAGCTAATGCTGCTTGTTCCATCACCAGAACGGGAGTCTCACTGGAGGAGAAAGAAGAGATATTATGGTTACACAACACCTTCAGAGCCAAGGTTAGTTATGCAACACCCTCAGAGGCTAGTTACATTTGACATTTTATGAGTAATGCACAACCTGCCTAAAGGACATGTATTCTTCAGAGGCGTTAGATCTAATAAAAGTTATCCTAAATGGATGAATGTGAAACTAAACCAACTTTAAAACTAGAACTGGATAAAGACAGTTATGTACATTTCAAGACATTAAAAACGTTCAAGTGTATCTGCATTCAGTGGTAAAGAGATCGAAACTGTGCCTCATAATCTAAGTAGAACAGCCTCTAAACTCCTGTGTTAATCTTTTTGACTAAATTCAGGTAGTCTGCAAGACCCCTTTCGCATATTTGTTCTATTGTTTTAGTTTCTTGGCTATAAATCACCTATTTTATAAGTGTGAGGGTTATTTCTAGTCGTCTGTAATAACTAGATTGATGCTGAAGTGTAAGGCCTCCTAGCAAACATAAATAGATAGAGACATACATGAAATGTACTCAGTATTGTACTTGGGTATTAGGAACTCGCTTTGACTAGTTGTTTTCCTCGTGCCTTCACCAGGTGGCCAGCGGGAGGGAGCACCGCGGGGATCCTGGACCCCAGCCACAGGCAGCAAACATGTACATTCTCCACTGGAATGACGAGCTAGCTGTTGTTGCCCAGGTAGGTAAGTTTATTTAGCACAGGTACACACAAGTGCAATTATTATACAGAGTGTAAATTACAAAGGTTAACCCAATAAAAAGCCAGAAAAGATGGTTTATTTCCATAGAAGTCCTTGTAATATCTTATTATTTAAACTTAGTGTTTAGACCGCGTCTGTGCAGGAAAAAACTTTGTGTAACTACTGTCTAAATGAATACATAAACACAATGTTCGCGTCATTAGAAAGAGGATGAAGTTGCTTTGATGTAGTTGAAGGACTCTTGGTCCAAGAAAGAGATGCAAAAACGTAAGTGTGGAGGAACACTGCACTGCATTTACCTGCCAATAGTAGGCACTGTATTTAATAGTCTTTAAGCTACTTTATATATATATATATATATATATATATATATATATATATATATATATATATATATATATATATATATATATATATATATATATATGCAGTAAGATCACAGTAAACAGGTGATTTCAAAATATGCAAAACAACCACTCTGAAAGAATAGAGAAATTCCAAGCGCTTTCGTGACTACTCACATTATCAAGGAACTATAGTTCCTTGATAATAGTTCCTTGATAGTTCCTTGATAATGTGAGTAGTCACGAAAGCGCTTGGAATTTCTCTATTCTTTCAGAGTGGTTGTTTTTGCATATATATATATAATATATATATATATATATATATATATATATATATATATATATATATATAATATATATATATAATAATATATATATATATATATATATATATATATATATATATATATAATATAATTTATATATATAAACTGTGTGTGTGTAATACATATTTTATATGGCTACAGGCTTGGGCTAACCAGTGTTTATTCGCTCACAACGGGTTTGAAGAACGAAGAATCTGTTCCCGTAACTACATGGTGGGCCAAAATATTTATTATCATATTGGTGTTGACCCTTCTCAGGTACGTTTTCTTGTAAGACCACTTCTCACCGCTTTGTATAAAAACATAAGAATCGAGGAACACTGCAGTAGGCCTACTGGTCCTTACTAAGCAGCTCCTTCTAAATAGAATCCTTCTCACCCACCCAACTGTCTATCCTACCCTAAACCACCTAGTAATTTGCTTCAATACTTCAAGCACTAATGAAACCCAGGACTAGATTCATGATTCATGCACCAGATGCGTTTCATTCACAAATAACCTTCACATAGAAGAAAGAAGCTTTTAACATCGTTTCGGCCCGACTTGGACCATTGACCGAAACGTCTTCATAAGCTTCTTTCTCCCATGTGCGAGTTAGTTGTGTATTGTTCCATTCACGGTATTGTGCCTTTTTTTTTTTATAGATGTGTTCCAGGCTGTGACACTTAGTGTACAGCGGCCATCAATGTCTGATTCCTATTAATAAAAATATATGATGTTTTGCAAACCATTCCACGGGTGGGATTAGAACCCGCGACCAGAGAGTCTCAAAAATCCAGACCGTCGCGTTAGCCAATGGGCCTTATTAAGCCAGGTGGCCCAGTTGCTAACGCGACGATCTGGAGTTTTGAGACTTTGATCGCGGGTTCTAATCCAACCCGAGGTATTGTTTGTTTCCAATCGATAGTGTCATTACGATTTTGTGAGTCGAGTGATGTTTTGCATACTGTTCCGATTGCTTACAACGATTGCATATCACGCAAACTAAATTACTGATTGAGGTAAGACACTTCATAATAACGAATTCGCATAAAACGAATCCGTATAAACAAAGGAATAATTTTTAAGTCGTGTTCTCAGCGTCAGTTATATAACCCTCACAGGTTTTGCAAATCCTATTTTCTTTAAAGCTCTTCATCCATCTAAGGATCAAACCTGATTGGCACACATTCTTCCAGGTGTTGTATTACCCCAAGAGTCTTGCGCATTCCTGTGAGCATAACAATAATCTTTGAGATATAAACATTGAGTTTTCTGAATCAGGTAACTTTCTCTGTTACAAAAAAAAAAAATCTTTTTTTTCCTATGGCATAGTAAAACTATAACAATTAAAGGAAATAAAAAGATAAAAATATAAAAAAGTTAAGCCACATGGAAAATAATCTCTTTAATGTCGTTTTCTTTCCTGTGTCTATTGTTGTTGTGTGGTGGGTTGTATATTGCCACATTTATTGGGTCAGCCCCTTATTATCATGCCTGTATGATTACTGTTCCCAGTACTGGCCGTGAGTTTTAGGACTAACTTGCCAGGAGTTCAATCCCTGCCCGTTCCGTGGTTTGTTTAATGAACCAGTTTCATAATATCTATGCCCTGGCTATTCCCGTCAGCAGAACTGGGCGGAGGCTGTCCACCAGTGGTACGAGGAAGTCACTGATATGCCCAGGAGCTACGCGGAGAGCTTCCATATTGTTGACTCTCAGAGAAATATTTACCATTATACTCAGGTTAGTCTAAATTTAGCTGATGCACAAACGACTCCAAGATTTAGAATATTTAGATGACACACAGGCGAATTTTAAGCTTAGGTGACAGTGAAACTGTAAGAAAAAAAAACTTTCAAAGTTTTTCTAGAGTAAAGACACAGGTTGCAGAATAAGTTATTATTTTCAGCATTTGGCTGTGCCATGACTTTACCAAGCCATGGATGACTTGAAAAAGATTTATTGCCACAATAAAAACTTATTCCGCACCGATTTTGCTTTATAAATGTCCTAACTAGTTGTGTGGTTCTGTGCTCGTATATGTCTGACCAGCATTGACTTAAACACCCTTTGTATATTTCTAATCCTTTATATATATATATATATATATATATAATATATAATATATATATATATATAATATATATATATATATATATAATATATATATATATATTATATATTATAATGTCGTGCCGAATAGGTAAAACTGGTCAGTTGGCAAGAACTCATTTAAAATTATGTCCTTTCTAAAATTTTCTCGTATACGTTTAAAGATATATTTTTTCATTTATGTTATTGTATAAAATCACTAATTTTGTACCATAAGAACCTTTAGAAAACTTAACCTTATTATAACAAGCGTAATGTGATTTAGCGTAATCTAACTAAATATATTTTAGATAAGTTTACAATAATTTAATAAACACAGTGAAATATATTTTTCTCGTTAGGTTCAGAATGATTTTTGCTCTTCTTGCCTTATTCGGCAAGAAGAGGATTGCTATTTAAGTCAAAATCGTACGTTTTACCTGCTCGGCACGACATATAAATGGCGTGCAAAATAGGACTATTTACAAAGTCACAGTATGTATTGTTACAGTCACTGCATTGTGCCTTTTTCTTCGTTAACGCTAATCTTTTTTCCTTTCTCTTGCAGATGATGTGGGGTCACACGAGGGAGGTAGGATGTGGTGCTGTCTATTTCTCAGAGTACGAAAGAATAGTCAGCCGTGTGTATGTATGCCACTACGGGCCCTCGAGTAATACTTCAGGGGCTCCTCTATACCAGGTGGGGCCTCCAGCCACGGCTTGCGGGATTTCCTCTCCCTCAATCATCTACTCCGACCTATGTATGTGGGGCGCCGTTGTGATATAATAGAATAAAGACCAAAAGGGCACAATACCGAGACTGGAGCAATACACACACACAATCCGCACATAGGAGAGAGGACTCAAGACATCGTCATAATGTGACTTTGTAAATGGTCTAAGTCGGACCGAATCGTCTTGGTAAGCTCCTCTCTCTTAGGTGCTGATTATTTGTGTAGGAATTGAGTAGATGGGTGACGAAACCAGACAAATGAAAAAAAAAGGCACATTGAACAGAGTAAGATTAATTAGCGACGTTTCGCCTGGAATGGGACTTTTTTTAAAGTACATGACGAAAATAAAGACAAAAGAGCAGCAGTAAACTGACAGCGTCTTGTTGATCACATTTCGGCCCCGCTACAGGCTTTTTCAATTCTAATTCGGGTATTCCCATATTATCTACGATTTCTATATGATAGTAACAGAGGGCGAAACGTTGTTAGATAAAAAGCTTTGTTTCTGTTCCTCTGATTCTCTACAGTATATATATATATATATATATATATATATATATTATATATATATATATATATATATATATATATATATATATATATATATATATTATATAATATATATATATATAAAGCGCATATAACATTATTATTTATAATAAATCAAAGCACACATAGACAGATTAGGCTTTTATTAAACTAACGTTTGGTCTAGTGATCATTATCAAGTAAGCTTTGTGAAGATAACTTCGTAAAATGCAACTTCTGGGTAATCAGTCCCTCAGTTTACCAACTGATTACCTCTACAGCCTTCACATTAAAGGTACCCAGATGTTGCCCATGTGTTTAATTCTGTCTTGTCGGTATTGTATACCGTTTATATATAACTTCGTAAAGCTTATACTGGACGAAAAGTGTTTTTGTTTCACACTGTTTACAAATGAAACATAAACACTCCATTTCACGTAATTAAATGGTACCTTCTTGGTTTGCTTGCTTAATTAAGTAGCGAAATTGAAATTTTAATGTATTAAACGAAGCAAAACTGGTTCGTTTTGTGTTTAATTGGATTAACGAGAGTTTAATTAGAGTTTAAAAATAAAATTGCGATCAGGTTTTATATTGATAATATTTTTTAAATGTTTTACAATGTAATTTTTCAGTATAAGGGAGGATATGGAAATATTTAAATGCAAGAGAGGAAATGCAAGAATTTAAATATAAGAAAAGGATATGGAAGCTTTGAAATATAATTGTGGAGATTGTTAGCTTTTAAATGAGGGTGGAAATGTAAGCATTTAAATATATGGGTGAAAATATAAGTTTTTAAATATATGGGAGGAAATGTAAGCATTTAAATATACGGGTGGAAATGAGAGCATTTAAATATACGGGTGGAAATGAGAGCATTTATATATACGGGTGGAAATGAGAGCATTTAAATATACGGGTGGAAATGAGAGCATTTAAATATATGGGTGGAAATGAGAGCATTTAAATATATGGGTGGAAATGGGAGCATTTAAATATATGGGTGGAAATGGGAGCCTTTAAAAAATTATGGGTAAAATGGAGCATTTAAATATAGGGGTGGAAATGGAGCTTTTAAATATGGGGTGGAAAGAGAGCATTTAATAATGGGGGGAAAGGGAGCTTTAAAAATACATGGTAGAAATGGGAGCATTTAAATATATGGGTGGAAATGGGAGCATTTAAATATATGGGTGGAAATGGGAGCATTTAAATATATGGGTGAAAATGGGAGCATTTAAATATATGGGTGAAAATGGAGCTTTTTAAAATATATGGGTGAAAATGGGGCATTTAAATAAGGGGTAAAATGGGACTTTAAAATATTGGGGGGAAATGGGACATTTAAATAAGGGTGGAAAAAGGGAGCATTTTAAATATATGGATAAAATTTGGGGGCATTTAAATAATGGATGGAAATGGGAACTTTTAAATATTGGAGGAAAGGGAGCATTTAAATTATGGGGGAAATTTGGGGGCATTTAAATAGGGGGAAAATTTGGCACGTGCAACTATCAATCTAACGTTAGTTGACTTTCGTGATGGACACCCAAACCCATACAACGTTTGGATGAAATAACACTTATAATGTGTTATTATAAGGACGAGCTGTTGATTCACTATTTTGTTCTATTTGGGAAGATTTACATAATGATTCTGCAACCTAAAAATTTTTTGACAAAGGTTTTGTGAGCACTAAATGTACAGGTTTTCCGCTACACAAAACCCCCTTTTTTCTTCATCTTTTGCTATCCTTATAAAAGATTGAGGATAAAGAAAGCAAAAAATGACGATAAGACACACGTAGGCTTCTTCAGTAAAATACAGGGGCAGCAGTTGAGCAGCGAAATAAGAGGGCCCAAATGGGTCCATTAACCTTGGAGAAAAAGATAAGGTGGTCCGTCCCCAGCTTGGAGAAGATTTCAGCGATAGTCGGGAAAACAAAGTAGCGTACTTTCTTTTAAACTTGTCGGATTTTAACCCTTTTTTCAAAATAAAGCACGGCTTTTTATTACAAAAATTCAGCGTTTTTATTGTTCATAATATTACATTTTACCCCAAAGTATTGCAAAAAAAAGGGTGATTTATATTGATAGGTTCCCCCCCATTTTTTAACCCGGTTATTTCTGGATAAAAAAACTTTCATTTTGTCTGTAGACTTAAATAATTTCATTGAAAAACAGAATAGGACTTTGAAAACTGTGTCAGGTTGAGGGTCTTTGATGCGATCAGTGTGATGGGATTGGTTTGATGGGGTGAGTTGTGAGGTCGTTTGAGGGGGGGGTCATTTGGCGGCCCTTTGTTTTGCAAAGTCAATGCCCTCTGTCCCAAAAAATTTAAATACTGAGTTAGAGGGGCGACCAGGCAATTATTTCCACCAATTCAACGCTGATTGCGGAAGTGGGGCTTTTTTGCCAGTGCAGTGGGGCTGCACTCTCAGCATTCCCGTCCCACAACCACCACTCCCATCACTCCCACTACCAACAACAACAACCAATACGACAAAAAAAACCAGCTCCACCACAACAACAATTTTTACCACCCAAAACAATAAAACAACCATGCCACCACCAAAAACCACTACAATCAACCAATCATCCACTGCAAATAAACCATAATATTTAACAATAACTCAAAACACTAAAACCCCTGCTAAATTTTTTTTCCACTTGCTGGGTGCTCAGTTAAAACAATCATAATCGCTAAAATAATTAGGTCACAAACCCCTTTACTACACATCATCAATCTCACTACACATCCTTCTTTCCTACACACTATCAAACTTCCTACACACTCATCAAACTTCACTCACACTCACAATTTCACTACACACTCATCAATCTTCACTACACAAATCGTCAATCTTCGCTACACACTCATCAATCTTTATACACACTCATCAACTTTACTACACACCCCAATCTTCACTACACCTCATCATTCTTCACTACCCCTCATCAACCTTCAACACACCATCAATCTTCACTACACACTCATCAATCTTTAACACAACCCCATAATCTTCATACACCTCATCAATCTTCTACACACCCTCAATCTTTTACTACACACTCATCAATCTTCACTACACACTCTCAAACTTCACTACACATCGTCAAATTTCCCAACCCCTCGTCAATCTTCACTACACACTCGTCAATCTTCACTACACACTCGTCAATCTTCACTACACACTCATCAATCTTCACTACACACTCATCAACCTTCACTACACACACTATCAACCTTTCCCACACACTCGTCAACCTTCCACACACACACTCGTCAAACCCTTCCCCTACACACCTCGTCAACCTTTACTACCACACCGCAACCTTTATACACACTCATCAATCTTCACTACACACTCATCAATCTTCACTACACACTCGTCAATCTTCACTACACACTCGTCAATCTTCACTACACACTCATCAATCTTCACTACACACTCATCAATCTTCACTACACACCATCAAACTTCACTACACATGGTCAATCTTTACTACACACTTCAACTTCACTACACCTGCAATCTTCACACACATCTCAATTTCACTACACACTTTTCAATCTTCACTACACACTCGTCAGTTTTCCACACACTCATCAATCTTCACACACACTCATCAATCTTCACTACACACTCTCAAATTTCCCACACACTCTCAAACTCACTACCACTCTCAATCTTCACTAAACACTCATCGCTTCAATACACACTCATCAACCTTATACAACACCATCAACCCTTTACACACACACTCTCACCTCACTACACACACATCGCCTTCACCACACACCACAACCTTTACTAAAAACACTCATCAACCTTCACTACACACACTCATCAGCCTTCACTACACACACTCATCAACCTTCACTACACACACTCATCAGCCTTCACTACACACACTCATCAACCTTCACTACACACACTCATCAACCTTCACTACACACACTCATCAGCCTTCACTACACACACTCATCAACCTTCACTACACACACTCATCAGTCTTCACTCAACACTCACAACTTTAACACACACCACAAACCTTCACACACACTCATAACCTTTTACACACACCACAGCCTTCATACACACACTCACAACCCTTTACTACACACTCATCAACCTTCATACCACACCCCCAACGACCTTCACTAACACTCATCATCTTCATCACCCTCATCAACCTTTACCACACACTCATCAACCTCAGTACACACCTCATCAACCTTCAGACCACCCATTCACCCCCCCCCCTACACACATCACAAAACCCTTCCCCTACACACTCATCAACCTTCACACCACACATCACAACCTTCAGACCCACATCATCAACCTTCACTACACACACCACAACCTTTACACACACCTCACAACCTTTACTACACACACTCATAACCTTCATACACACACTCTCAACCTTTACACACACACTCTCAACCTTCACACACACACCCCATCAACCCTTACACACACACTCGTCAACCTTCACTAACACTCGCAAACCTTTCCCAACACTCGTCAACCTTCACTACACACTCATCAACCTTCACTACACACACCCTCAACCTTCACCCACCGTCAACCTTTACTACACCCCACTCATCAACCTTCACTACACCCACACTCTCAACCTTTTTCTACAATCAACAACTTCACTCCACACTCGTCAACCTTTACTACCACACCGCAACCTTCACTACACAAAATCTCAACCTTTACTACACACACTCGTCAACCTTTACTACACACACTCTCAACCTTCACTAACACACTCTCAAACCTTCACTACACACACCGTCAACCCTTTTACTACACACTCGTCAACCTCATACACACATCACAACCTTCACTACACACTCGTCAACCTTCACTACACACACTCGTCAACCTTCACTACACACTCGTCAACCTTCACTACACACTCGTCAACCTTCACTACACACACTCAAAAAACCTTCCCCTACACAATAACAACCTTTACTAACACCTCATAACC